GATGCATACTAGGAGGGGTGGTTTTCTTCAGAGCACTAGCCAAGGCCCAGAAATAAACAACTTTCCCTCCAACCACAAACAGCAAATGTCAAGATACACTTACTTGATCTCACAGAAAGAACAGTGGACTGAACCTTTAAGGTGGGCCTTCAAGGTGATATCCCAGCCACCCCCACAAATTTTAATGGGGTGTGGAGGTGGATGATTTGTGGGCCCAAGGCACAAACATCATGTTGCCAGGCATGTTCAAGATTATACTATATATTTTCCTCAGAATGAGGAACAGCTCATGGTACGCTATGCACTGTGTTGTGCAGTGGTACGGCTGGAGTTTGCTTAACATCTGAAGAGTGTTTGTACTGGGAAAGACCACCTAGGACAGAGCCTGTACGAGGGCCATAGAATTACAATTGTACTGGGAGCTGTTTGTTTATTCTGCTAATCTCCAATTATATCACTGGCATGGAGCACTGCATTTTTGGGGGATTGGGACAGGCATTAGAGTTGTGGACAACTTTTGCACGCAATGGATTTCAGAAAAGCTCATGCCAAAGCCCATCTCTCAGCGGAAAAGGTAACCATTAACCCCAAACATCAGCTCTCTCTGCATCGGAGGACTCCTGACTGTCTTGTAAGCAACAACACATGGACACCAGACATGGCTGCTCTTGAATGGCACGGCACACCTCCATCTCCTTTGGTGCCAGGTTGTGGTTCTGATTTGTTGCCTCCCCATTTCTGATTCTGCAGTGATGGGGATTTGTTTCTCAGCCAGCTACGTTCAAGCACCCTGTAATGCACTATGCTAGCCTCTTTTTGCAGACGGAGCAAGATGTCTGCACTCAACCATAACTCCCTTTGTGTTTAGCAGTATTAGTAATCTCCACAGGATTTCTTCAAAGACTGAATGACAGCTTGTGCTTCTAAGAACGTGGCAAACTATGTAAAACAAATTCCTTCCAGTTAATTTGTATGTCATAACAGAATGAACTCTCCATTCCTACCCTGTCCTTTCTCCTACTCTCCCATCCATCCACTATGGAGCCATGCTGAGGGTGCAAAAAAGGTTGAACTGTGGAAACAGCATGGTTGGCTCACCTGCAAAGGCATCCTTGTGCAATACCGTGAAAGTTTGTCTCTTCTGTACAGTGCAAAAGGGTCCGTCACAAGTGCAAATTTGAAGGGTATTATCTGCCTTCAGGAACAGGAACTGCTGGGGAGAAGCAGCTGAAGAGCGTGCATTAATTTAAAAAGAGCGTGCATTAATTTAAAAAAGAGTCCATTTGGCACAAAAAAGGGGGGAGTGTGAGAAATGGTAATAAAATTCTTCTGCATAAAACGGTACACAATGTGCCCAAAGCAGAAGTCTGCATTTCTTGCACCTAACCCAACAAGGAACACTCTGTATTTTCCCTGACAATTATAACTGACTGATGGTGATTTGGGGACTGCCTAGCCAACTGACCATTTGCATGCAATTTTATCTGGCTTTTGGTAACTCCGCTGGAGAGGTTGTAGAATGCTTCTCCATACTTCCACTTGGAAGGAAAACAAAAATGGGATTGGCTTGTCTGTCCATCTGTCTGTCTGTCTGTCTTTCTGTCTGGGATGCTTTCCTATTACAATGGATAAGCTGCTCTTTAAAACTTCCGATGCTGCATCTGCTTCCATTATTCATAGCTGAGCCTTCACGTTTTGACACTCTTACCTCATTGATTGGGTTTGTCATGCAAGACCACACCCTCAGAAAATGGCTTTTTGAATCCATGGTCCTGCAACCAAGATAGGAACCAGACTTATCTTTCGTCAGTTTTACAATTAAAAAACAACAACACCCAACAGTCTCCTCTTTGATCTCTCCTGTTCCTTGATAATCCAATACTTTGCAGTTGTTAAATTAAGTGTACAATGCAGGGTTTGGGAAGTGAGGGTGACTCACCCAGGAGTTAAGCTCAGCTGGCAGACACTTGGCTGCCAGGGGTGGGAAAAGAGCCAAAGAGAATGAGGCTGGGTGGCTTGATTGGCAAGATGAGCAGCTAGCTCAGTGCAACAGGATTTACTGGTATTTGAAATCTGCCTGTGGTTTTAGCTGGCAGTCGAAAGCTTCCTTCCCCCAGATTAAACTGAAGATAATCTCAGTAAATAGCATGGTTTTACCATGCAAGGGACTGAATTAAACAACAGACGTCTGAATTATCCCCCAAGGACATCCCTCTGAATGCCCATTATTTTAGAAATAGACCATAGATATTGGTGTTTCTTTTCTTGCATGGGGGTATGCAGTGAGTGAACAGTAATATGTCTCATGAGTTGCTCCAGATCTGAACAGGATCTTGAATGTAGTTTAATACACATGCCTGGAGACAAATAATCCTTAGCATAACTTTGACCAGAGTCTCCTGAAACGCTTCTATTAACAGAAACCACTTCACTTCTTTAACTGGTAGATTTTGTTGACTGTACATCCATGCACATAGGTGGCTTTCTGAAAATAGTCTACAGTTTAGACAACACCACAGCAGAATTAGATCCAGAAACTCTTTTTCTTTTCATTGTTGTGGGTTTTTCGGGCTCTTTGGCCGTGTTCTGAAGGTTGTTCTTCCTGACGTTTCGCCAGTCTCTTTGTCCGGCATCCTCAGAGGACAGCACTCTGTCCTTCTTTTCTTTGTGTGTAAGTGGGAAGGTCCACATCTAAGGCTGAACAATGAATTAAGTACAAGTGTGGTGCAAAGTCCAAACCTTTAGACATTGTTAGGACTGCAGCCCCTCAGAGTTATTTACCATTGGCCATGTTGTCTAGGGCTACTGAGGGTTCCAACCCCACAACATCTGGAAGACTGATCTTTGCCCACTCCTGCTTAAACCTAATGATGAGCAGCATTGAGCTTGGGGCTCATATGCTCCCCACAACCAGCACAGTTGCAAAGAGGAGAGCAGAAGCTTCTGTTTTAAGTTAGCCATCATCAAATGATGTGCTTATCTTGAACCATGATTAATTGTAAGTATGGTTAATGAAAACAAGGCAGCTTAATAAAGGGAGAGGACTTTTTAGTGTATATATGTCTGTTCCAAGAAATCTCAGGTTCAGCTTCTGCCCTAAGGACTTCAGGAGCTGAAGCCAACAGATTTAAGAGAGACACCATGCAAAATGAGAGTGTATATAATCTTTCTCAGGTCCAGGATGTCACTGGCTTTATAAGTTAAATGGCAGGTATCTATCCAGGTAAACTGAATGCTGACCCAGCTGCCACATTTATTTCACCACATACCCAACACAAGGTGGACTCCAAGCCTCATTTTTCTTGTTGTTGTTTTCAAATAATGAGTGTTTGTGCATTTATTTGTTTTTTCACCAACTTGTTAATTTTTAAAAAAGAATTTGAACCATATACATTCCAGTAATTCTTAAATAAAACTGGAAGTTGATGAGAATTCAAAGTTACTCCTATGAAATGTTGATGGAGAAGTACATACTGTGTTTCCTTGAAAATAAGACAGGGTGTTATATTAATTTTTGCTCCAAAAATGCATTAGGGCTTATTTTCAGGTGATATTTTATTTTTTCATGTATAGCAATCAACATTTATTCAAATACAGTCGTGTCATCTTCTTCTGGTTGCTGCACAATGGTGGAGGGTGGGGGTTCACTTAACTAGGGCTTATTTTTGGGGTAGAGCTTATATTACGATCATCCTAAAAAATCTTACTAGGGTTTATTTTCAGGTTAGGTCTTATTTTCAGGGAAACAGGGTAGATATTCTTCCCAATGGATTGTTTTATCATGAGAACTTCTCCTGAAGATCTTAAAATCAGGCAGTTTCATAATGACAACTCGATCTTTTAGATAGTCTGTTTTCAAGATGTACAGGGCTTTTACAATTAGCACCTGAAATAAAATGTATTGGGATAACAAACGTGTGTCCCTGCAGATGTTGTTCAAATACAACATCCATCAGCATCAGTCAATCTAATAGTAATGTTCCATCAAATTAATTCCAGCTCACACTGACTTTCTTGGGGTCTAAGTATAAATATTCGGAAGTGGTTTACCTATCCCTCCTTCTGGGAGCACTCTGGGGCAATGCAGCTTTCCCATGGCTGCCCCAATGGCAGAGTATGTAACTCCATCAGTCTCTCACGCACCAGGCGACCTCAGGGATTCCTCCTCCTCCCAGGAGGCAAAATTCAAAATTCCCATCCCCTAGGGGGGCTCCAACTCTGAGAACTCTACCACCCTCCCTAGTTAACATAACCTACAGAATTGTAGTTCAGCTTTTGGAGGGCATCGTCTTTCCCTCTTCTAGAATATTCCATTTCATTTTTCCTTGTACATGTTCACCAACTCAAAAGCCAGTCTGAATTCCTTTGTCATTAAGCATGCTCGGCCCTTACTGGATTATTTGGAGACTTTCCGCTCTTAGATGTTTTCTCCTAGCTACTTTTAGTGCTTCTGCAAATTGGGTTCTGCCAGCCTGCTGTTACCTCCCTGTTGTGTGGGGGTTATTTGGGCTACCCTCAACTCTGAACATTAGAAATAGAGGGGATTGTTATTTTATACAGCTGTTGTAAGGTTGACTGAACTAGTATATGTGATGGGCTTTCAACACTGATATGTGTTCTATTTTTGTTGTTATTTAGTCGTTAAGTCATGTCTGACTCTTCATGACCCCATGGACCCCATGGATGCCTTCTATATAGTACTGTTTAAAAGCAATCTCAAGAACAGCCTGACAAGGTTTAGATGCTGGTTTTCTCTTTCTTTCTTTCTTTCTTTCTTTCTTTCTTTCTTTCTTTCTTTCTTTCTTTCTTTCTTTCTTTCTTTCTTTCTTTCTTTCTTTCTTTCTTTCTTTCTTTCTTTCTTTCTTCAGTTTCTGCTTTTTCAGTTTCTTCTATGTAAAGAAGTTGTTTAGAGGAGGCCGTAAGGGACCAAGGGAATGCTTGAGTTAGAATTGTGTTGCTGATGTGCAAGTACGATACAGCTGCAATTCTTTGAAGTTCACACTGTTTCTTTTATGATAAACAGTAAGATGGAAGACGATTTTGCCTGCCAAATGAAGAAGATGGCCTTGGTCATGGGGGCCTCCCTGACAGATAAGGATATTGACCGACTGCCTTCAGACATGAGGCATCATGGTAAGGAGCAAAGGAAGCAGAACCTGGAACAATTCAGATCAGAGCACAGACCTGAGCATGGGCTGCTTCTTCAGATATTCACCCAGTGCCAGACTATAGAGTTGTGGCCACTCAACAGTCCATCTTCTGTAATCTGGCATCTGAAAGATCAGGATGCTTATGAGAAGTTCTGGTGGCTCTTCAAGTGGTCACCTGTGCAGTGAAAGCTTCTGTGCAGGGTCTTCTTCTTCTTCTTCTTCTTGAGTTGAAAATTCAACCCACACCCATTCTATCATGCATGTTCAAAGAGCACGGCTCCTGATAATCCTGATATTTTCCAAACTATCCAAAGCTAGGGAGCAAGAGGAAGAACACGATTGGTGTATCTGTAATGGGGGAAGGGGGAGGAGAGCTTCTGTGACTGCATAGATGCCCACTCAGAGAGCCATAATTACACATAAGCAGTTTGTTGTTCTTTATCATCGGTTCCATGCACTACACATACAGACAAGCAACAAGTTTATCTATAGGAAGTGGATGGAAGTGAGGACTGCTGCTACAAATATTGCATTGGCCTGAGCACAACTATCTAGGTGTTAGTGCTGGGCAAATGTGGAACACTATGATCACATAGTGGCCTGAAGTCTCGTAATTATACCACACTTTAAAAGGCTGTTGGCTAGGCAGTTTGCTCTTGTGGAAGGACCCTCAATCTATTCTAGAGGTGATAACTTAGACAAATCATAGCACTGAGTGATCCACAAAGTTGGGTCATGTTAAGGGAGTAAAAAGCAACAGCAACATATTCATGCAACTCAGGTGACCTAACCTAATGTATGAAGGGAAGCATAGCCTACTCCATCAGATGCATAAACATGGGTTCAATAGCCAGGAGATCTGAGTGAAGGAAGAGGATTCCTCTGCAATCCTACATGCTGAGGCTGAAACTTCACATACAAACCTCTCTGGAAAGAAGTCTTAACTGAATTCAAGGGGATCTGTTCAGGCATGTGGAGATGTGTGCTGACTTGGAGTCCACTACTGTACACTTTTAAGAGCAACCTTCCGACCATTTTTCCAGAAGAAAAAGCAGCTTCACAAGGAATCCATAATGAGCAAGGAAGGAGGGGCTGTGAAGAAAATGCAAAACCCAAAACCCATTCCCCAGTTTTCTGTTCCCAAAGTTTCCCTCTGAGCTGCTTGCCACCTACCTACCCTTTCCAAGGAATCCTAGCATGAAAAATTGGAAGCACTCAGGTGGGAGGGCCAGATTGGTGTAATTTCCTGCAGAAACATAATAGTGCAACATCAGTGATACACAGTGTTCCTCCCATCAGCCACTCTCCACCAAACTACATTTTTCTGGACAGAAAATGGCCAAGAAACATTTGTCTATTATTTGTGGCTTGCCCTAAAAGTATGAATGTGAATGAAGTAATTACACACCTGCAGACATAATGTTTAAGGCACAGTGATTAGTGGCTGGTTCATTCATACAGATACACGGGCACACGCAAAGAGAGTCAAGGGTCATGAGTACTTTGAGAATCCATGATTTCATCTGTGCACGTATGCCCTTATGCAAACTGCAAATATTGTATTCATAGTTACTGCATCCAATTTGTCACCTGGTGGGTCATTTTTGATTGAACTAAGATGGTCCCTGAATAATCTTAGAACTGCACAGCTGGAAGGGACCCTATGGATAGAGTCCCTGTCAAGAAGGCAAAGTGGTTGAATCGAATTCCCAACCTCTTGCTCTTTACCCTGACACCTAAACCCATAAGTTATCCAGCAGTTCTGGCAGGCACACAACATGACACTAGGGCAGTACTCAAAGCTTCTGACAGCTCTGGATGCCATGAGGAGCAGACAGAACCGGGCTTTGTGAGGAATCTCACCTACCTTTCCATTTATGCATGGAGAGCCAGGGGGAAGGGAATGGTAATTATAAATTACCACTTGAATGTCTGACATACTTTGAGAACTCTATCAGGGTCACCATGGGTCAGCAGTGACTTGACAACACCTAAAAATCCATACGCACACATGCACACACCCCTAGATAGCTTCACAGAGTGTGTGTTCTAATTCCTTTTCATTGTTTCTTCTTTTCTCTCTCATACACAAAATATCAAGTCTGAATTTCCCTTTCTGTAACATGGGGTGTACTTGTGGGATATCAGAACTTGACTTCTGTAAAGTCTTATAGACCAAATTAACTGCCTTCTTAACAAAGCAGTAGTTCCTGAATTAAAAGTCAGTCATTCTGTTGTAGGTTCATTCAACTACACCAAGTTCTTTGAACACATGCAGAAGTTTCTGAAATCAGGAGAGCAGGAGGCACAGTTGCGAAAGGCTTTTCAGATGCTCGACAAGGATGGCAGTGGCTTCATCGAATGGAATGAAATCAAGTAAGATAACATTGCTACATTGCTGTGAGTTTCAAAAGAAGGGCAACATGGCAGACATGCAAAGTTCCTACATATGTAAGCCAGAAACAGCCATTAGAGATGGACTGTGACTGGAAGAAGAAGATTCTTTAATAATAAAAATGTCTGAGTTGTCACAGCATGAACATCGCTCACTCTGGGGTTATGCAATTCAGTTTGCTTTGATTGGTCTTCAGGATGTGAACATGGAATTCATCTGCAGTTTGGTTTCTCAAACATGGAAGGACTGCCTCAGTCACCTCTCTGCAATATTAATGTGTTTCTATTTCTCATTATGGGCCGTGTCCAACCTCTGTCCCTGGCCACATACATGGAATTTTAGGCAACGTGACTCTATAGCTTAATTTGTGACTTAAGACTCTGAAGTTGAAAAGGATACTTTAAGTATCTAGGAAATACTTGCTTATGATGAGGTAAACTGGAAAAATATTTACAACCACTGCTTTCTCATCCCTGGGGCAATCCCTTTGCCTGTGATAAAAATACATCCTCATATATAGGACTTTCTCTCCCTTAGCTGCACACACACCTTGGGCACATTCCATAGTGGAAGGATTGTTTTTCCCCTTGCCTGAGAACTTTTTTTGTGTGTGTGTCAGAGGCTTCATCCTGAGAGTGAATGAAGTGAGACCCAAGAGTGGGATCACCCCATTTTTCTTTCTCACCTTTCCTTCCACACCCATCTCTCTTCTCTCACTAGAGATCTGAACAGGTCACTTGCAGAGAGCGTCTAAAATTATGCTAAGGTCCACATGACATTAGGACGAGGGCCACGGGTTGCCCATGCCGGCCACAGATTCTATGGCTATCCTATTAGAAGAAATTGAGAAGAGACCTCTAAATGCACAAGGGAAGTTCCGGTATGCCCAACATATTTTGTAATACGTCACTGGGGTATTTCTGAGTAACAACCTAGTCTGTAAACAAACTGCAACAAGAGATATAGCTTGGGCTAATGATGTAATTAACAGAGCCTCTGAAGAAAGATTTATTCTGAAATGTATTGGGCTCAATAAAAGTCTTAAAAGTCTTGCCACTTCTCTCCCTCCCCTTGCAGCAATAATAATAATAATAATAATAATAATAATAATAATAATAATAATAATAATAATAATAATAATAATAATAATAATAATAATAATAATAATAATAATAATAATAATAATAATAATAATAATAATAATAATAATAATAATAATAATAATAATAATAATAATAATAATAATAATAATAATAATAATAATAATAATAATAATAATAATAATAATAATAATAATAATAATAATAATAATAATAATAATAATAATAATAATAATAATAATAATAATAATAATAATAATAATAATAATAATAATAATAATAATAATAATAATAATAATAATAATAATAATAATAATAATAATAATAATAATAATAATAATAATAATAATAATAATAATAATAATAATAATAATAATAATAATAATAATAATAATAATAATAATAATAATAATAATAATAATAATAATAATAATAATAATAATAATAATAATAATAATAATAATAATAATAATAATAATAATAATAATAATAATAATAATAATAATAATAATAATAATAATAATAATAATAATAATAATAATAATGATGATGATGATGATGATGATGATGATGATGATGATGATCTGAAGTCACATGCTTTCACTCTCTATAGGTACATCTTATCCACAATGCCCAGCAATGTGCCAGTGGTGCCCCTGTCAGATGAAGAGGCTGAAGCCATTATCCAAGCAGCTGATACAGATGGGGATGGGCGGATTGATTTTCAAGGTGGGCACAGATTATGTGTCAGGGACATTTACTTGACTATCACACTGAGGAGCTTGTGTCTCTAAAACAGAGAATGGCCTAAGAATTGCCCCTGTAATTTAACTGGGCCCAGTTTCCTCTCTCTAGTATTTTAGAAAGTGGCATAAATATCTAGGAACTGATGGGAAAAGAGGTTATAAGATTCTTGGTGCTGCTCAGTCACTGTATCAGTGATTGATCCTGACGATAAACTGTGTGTGTCTGCGTGTGTCTGTGTACAGCGAGAGTGTTGAGTCGAGCCACCAAGGAGGAAGTGGATAAATGGAGGAGATCCTCTGATCAGTTCTGTATTGTCTTATGATGTGGCAGAGTCAGATATGACTGGAGCCATTTTCTGTAGAAATAGAAGGATTGTGGGGACTTACAAAAAAGGGACACTTCTCAGGAAGTGTAGAACAGTCCAGCAGAGAAACATGCAACTTATAGGATGGGATGGATGGCAGCCCAAAAAGCTATATAGTAGTGTTTGCTTATATCTTAAACAGTCCCTTCTGGACTCCAGACTTATCCACTTCGGCTGCTTTTGCTGTTACAGAGTTTTCCGATATGATCACAAAGGAGAAGATTCTGAAGAAAAAGTAGAAGACAGAAGACAAGCTTCCCTTGTCAACAGTGTTGTGTGCCAGTGGGGGTTGGGGTATGGAACTTGTCTGTGTCTCTGATCAAGCTATGCTTGTTGAAAGCCCCTCTCCCAATTATTTTTGCAGGGTGGGAGGAGGGAAGTCTGCAGCTTGCTGTCAAGGCTCACTGAGTGGCCTCTGCAGTTTACAAGGTTAGCTTAGCCCCCGTGGGGATGCATGAGGATTTTGTTGTTGCACTTTTGATTTAAAAAAAAAAAAACAACTTTGCAATTATTTGCAGATTTCTTCAGAAATTCAATGGAAAGAGCATGAGAGGAAAGCAGTTCAAAGACAGGAGAAAGTGAAATTGTAAGATTCTTGCATTTGGGCAGAGGGTTTCTACTACTTAGCTCTTTAAACTCTGAGTTTCAATCTGTCTATATTCAACCAAACTGAAATTGCTATGTCTTTTTTCTTTCCCCCTCCCAACGGGATCTTCAGCCATCTGCCTGGCAGACAGGTACAATGTGATCAACCATCTCCCTAGTAGGAAAAGCCACATCTATTGAATTTGGCCCTGCAAATGGCTGAGAATTTTTGTTTTGTTTTTTTAGAAGAGCCTATCAGTATTTAGACATTTTTTTCATACATTCAACAGAAAGAACTTGAGCTTTGGACTATTTTTAATTTAATGTATGTGAAAGTGAAACTGTCAGATTAATCCATCCTTAACTCTTACTGAGACAAAAAGGGTCTAGAGATGTCTAAAAGAAACTCCTTCCTCCTTAGCGAACCTGTCAATCATGAAATGTCAAGCACAAGGCCTTTCATAGGCACCCTCTGGTCACCACTGCCTTCCACAGAACCATGATTTCAACTGGCCCAGCATCTGGTGCTCCAGGGTAAGATTCCCATGATGGCACCAGAGTGAGACCAGCTCTACAAATCCAGTTATTGCCAGAGGCATTACCTGGGCCTGAACTTTGTTGCAAGCCATCCCTCAGTCCTTTTTCAGTAAATCTAGCAGCAACATAGTCCCTCCCTGCTGGCCTTTGCTGGGAAGGAAGACTTCAACGGATTGTATGATCTACAGTGAGGACAGGTCTATGATAACATAGAAGTGAATGGTGTGTATATGCCTATATTTTCGAGCCGACCCACAGCTCATGTCACCCTAAGATCATATTGTTTTTCTCCTAACTCCTCAGCTAGTCTTTCAGTAGAGAAGAATAAGAACCTAGTGGGTTTTATTCCAGCAAAGGAAAATGTTACTTTTATCATGTCCTGTCTGAGGCAAATAAAGCCTGTTTTACTTTACAACTTGTAGAATCCTTTATTTGACCTTCATTTTTGCTCCTGAAGGAAAGGGGCATGAGAGACAATTAATGACAAATGCATGGAGCTTCATTTCAGCATCTATATCCCATGACAAAGAGTCCTGAAATCAAGACCGCTCCTTTCTTAAGCCAGCCCAGCATCAGCAGATGGCACCACTGGACAGTTGCCAAGGGAATAGCCCTGCTGACACTACCATCCCGGACAGCTAAGCTGTATTTGGGGGAAGGATCAATATTAGTTCTAGACTCCTGTCCTCATTTTCCTTAGGAACACAGCAGGGTAGAGTTACATTGCCTCTCCAGGCCTGCTCTGGTTCCTTTCATGATTGCACAGATACCTTGCTCATTTATGCAATTATGGTTTTAAAGAAATCTAGTTAGATCTAAGAGGCATTTCAATTTATTTTTATGTCTAGTATGGCCCTAAGCCATTGAAAAAGGTTTTCAGCTTCCTTTCCTAAACATGTTTAATTGAGCTGATTTTAGCCTAGCCTTCCCCAAAAAATGCTGGTCTCCAGATGTTTCACTCTACAACACCTATCATCTCTGAGCACTGTCTATCTTGGGTAAAGATGACAGAAGACATTATTTAAAATAATATTGGAGAGCTATGGTTAGGGAAAGGCTCCTGTAGCCCTAGTGTGTAAAGACCTTGTACAGGTCCTCCCTCTAGCAGGAGTTGTTGTTAAAGGCAACTTGATGACCTATTACAATATAACAGCTTAAGCAATCTGAGGTAGGAAAGGTCGATGGCAGGGTTGAGTAACTGTTACTGGGACTACAGTCCTCATCACCCCTCATCATGGATTATGCTGGCTGGGATTACTGGGAATTACAATCTAGCTAAATATGGAGGGCCACAAGTTGCCTACCCTGGATTTAAGGATAGATGTGCAGAGTAGCCAGCACTAGCAGACTCAAAAATGTACAATATCACTGGAATGGTATATCTTACCCCTTGTGCTGAGGAGAGCAGGCTTATGGATCACTCTGGTTTATGGCCTGAGAGACTCTTTCTAAATACTGTAATATGTTTCCTCTCTGAGAGCTGGATACCCCTTGTTTTTCTGAAAGCTGAAATTGTCACTGTAGCTACAGACTCTTGGGAAACAGTGAGAGATACTGGAAAAGATTTCCTCCAGAACAAGATGAATGAGTAAAGACAAGATGCTCCCTAATGACTGAGGCATTTTCTGCTCTGGCACAACTAAATGGAGTAGTTAAAGGTAAAGATAAAGGTTCCCCTTGACAATTTTTGTCCAGTCGTGTTCGACTCTAGGGGGCAGTGCTCATCCCTGTTTCCAAGCCATAGAGCCAGCGTTTTGTCCGAAGACAATCTTCCGTGGTCACATGGCCAGTGCGACTTAGACACAGAACGCTGTTACCTTCCCACCAAGGTGGTACCTATTTATCTAGTTGCATTTGTATGCTTTCGAACCGCTAGGTTGGCGGGAGCTGGAACAAACAACAGGCGCTCACTCCGTTGTGTGGATTTGATCTTACAACTGCTGGTCTTCTGACCCTGCAGCACAGAGGCTTCTGCGGTTTAGCCCGCAGCGCCACCACGTCCCTGGAGTAGTTAGAGAACAGTGCCACCTGGTGGCACACATAGAGGGGCAAGTACAGTATTAAAATACTGGGAGCATGATCATCACAGGAACGTTTCATAGCCAAGTCAAGCACCCAGAACAGGGACCTCTTCAGAGGCCTTCAAAACTGAAATAGATTTGGTTATCATTTCCTGACTCAAAGAAAGGTTTCCTACACATCAGTGCTGCTTATTCAAAAAGGCCGCTTGTGTCAAGAACCATTTCCATGTGCAAGTTCCATATTAAAAAGGCAAGGAGGAATTATCACGCTAGCTGGACTTAGGAAAGAGCAGGTGTGACCGACTGACTGCTACTCCACATTAGTTCTGTTCTGCTCCAGCAATCTTAGACATGACAAGGCTTGTGTCCCAACCAGACTAACATTGGAGTTGGCTGCAGTTAGGCTGTCTTCTGCAATTTATGATAAAAAATACTGGAGAAACCTTCTTGATTTCATTCATCCCAATTACCATGTATACATGCTCCTCGTTGCCATGGTATTTATTCCCATCAAGTTGATTGAAAACAACAGATACAGCATTTAGAGCCATGGCTTTTCCCCCCCATGCATCTGAAGATGCCAAGATGTTCAAACCTGACAAACAATTCAATTGATAGCATCATTTGGATAGGAAAGCTATGTTCAGCTCGGTCTCTCTACATGTTAGCAAAAGACTGTAATGCCCATGTTGACTATGGACCAGCCTCCCACTAATGGCAAGCTTCATCACCAGCGTAGGTCCTGGGATGCTCTCCAAAATAAACCCTACCTAATCGGTTGCATAACACTGCCATGTTATTTGTGTCGGAAAGGGACACTGGCCTATAAATCTGCAAGCTGTAAAGATCGAGCAGAAAGCACAGAAAGAGAAAAAGAATTAGTACGGGGGGGGTGTGTGGAAACCATATGGAAATGCTTGCACAAAATAACACCACCACCCCTCCCCTCAACATTCCTAAGTGAGTAGCGTGCTGTGCTTAGTAGTGGTTGCCCAGCCTCTGGTTTGCAAAGCTCTTCCCACCACAATGAAAAGCAGCACTCGAACTAGAGAGCCAAGCTGCCTGTGCAGAATAAATGTGCTTAATAAGAATTGTACATAAGCACACAGTCTCAGTATTTAAAACGGACAAGGTAATGAAAGGCAGTGATTTTAAACGCTTACACAAGTGGGCAATAAACAGATCATCCATTCGGGTGAGGAGCGGAATGGACAGCCCTACAGACATTATTGGACTACATCTCCTATCAGATGCAGTGAATGCAACTAAAGGTGAGGAGTTATGGGAATTCCATCTAATAACATGGAGGCGGCTATCCCTCATCTCTGACCCATCTCCAAACTTTCATTCAGTTGTGATTCATGAGGTGTGGCATTATCCAGAGCAATCCTGAATATTTCAGACTCTCAGGAATCATATTTGCATCCCATTAGGACTCAATGAGCTTTTCCTTTTCAAATAATAATTTTTTTAAAAAATTAGAGCAATGAGAATCCAGCAGATTATAAACATCTTTCTAGAAGATGACCTGCGTCTTGTTGGCACAGATTGGGAAGTGATACTGAGTTCTACCATCTAATACCAAGTCACTCAAGCAGTGCTAAGTGAGAAAATAATAACCTCCTTTCTTTCTCCTGCTCTGTGCAAGATTATTTCCCCAAGATTCTGGATATGGCACTACACAGACGAATTTATGCCAAGCACCCCACAGGATAAACTCCTAGTGTACTCTCCTACCCCTCAAAAGAAACAAAAGTGCTTTTTCTAACAGTGTTTTCCCACACTAGATTTCACATGATTAAATATTTAAAGCCTTGTGTTCATGTGGGGCTGTGATTAATACTGTGACTGGCGGTGCTATGCTCCACATTGGGATGCTGAAGCATGGGTGCTTCTTTGAGGGGGGTCCAAACTCAGAAAGGCTGAGCAAAGCACAAATGCACAGGACAGGCATTTACACAAAAACTTTGCTAGAGAGACCTGTGAAGCAGCAGAATAACATTCAACATACACCACCTATGGCTCAAATGCCATAATCCATAATCTCCTGAGCATTTATAGAATGCATTCTTCTTGTGATAGAATTTTTACACCAGTGGTTCCCAACCTTGGGTCATCAGATGTTCTTGGTTCTTGGACTGAATTCCCAGAAGCCTTCGCCACTAGCTGTGCTGACCAGGATTTCTGGGAGTTGTAGTCCGAGAACATCTGGAGTCCCAAGGTTGGTAACCACTGGTTGAGAATAACATGAGTGTAAATATGTACATATGAAAACAAGTGGAATGCTGTGGGTGCGTAAACTGCCAAGCACCAGGACTAGTTTTCTGTCCACAGTGTGCCATAGTGCGCACAGACCCATCTGCACAAGTCAGAAA